AGAAGAAATATACAAATTACAAAGGCTGTATAGACCATGGCAAACATCGAAGAAAACAAAATATGAATAACTGCAAGAAATTGCAAAGGGGAAATACATACGTATTTTTTACTAGAGAAGCAAATGAGGGAGCAAAGCCACATTAACAAAACAATTGAATACTTTATAACTACAACAACAACAACATAGTCTTTTAGTCCCAAGCAAGTTGGGGTAGGCTAGAGATGAAACCCAAGAGATGAATACTTTATAACTAAATCCAACTTTTATATTATTCCCACCATATGAAGCAATTTGTGAAGAAGGAACTAATTTAACAGGGGTATTTGCTATCAAGATTTTAGACATAAAAAGGAGAAGCCCCATATGATGGACCTATCCAGCACACATTCAGTAAATAGCTCGAGCTCGAGTGTTTACCTCAGATGTTGCTCGGGTACATGAACACCCTCACTCTATCTCCCTGTTTCACAAAACATTTCAATACATCATTCGTAAACAACCATTGTAAAATATATTACTAAAGTAATATGTTAACCGTACAAAACATTTCTAAATCCACCTCAACATTTAACAAAACTACTCAACAGATAAAGGGCGGGTTTGCTTTTTCGACTTTTCAATTAAACAAAAACTCTGTCTTTACCAAGCTATCAACTAGCATTAGCTCCATCAACTCAATAGTCAATACCTTTAAGCACACACATGAAAATACATAAATCCCAGCAGAATATAGATGAACACAAGCATACAGTTCACTCAACCGTGAATAAAATGTACAAGTACCTAAATAGACCCATCAAGCCAAATAGCTCAGCTCAATTCCAATCAATCACCAGAACATAATATTCGACCCAACAACATCATTCAATTCATTCAAATACAAAAATTTAAGAAAAAAACAGGGAACCAAAAAAAAAAAAAATAATAAACAAAACTTGGATGAAGCTCAGGATACCATGGATTTCGGGGGAAGATTGGACTTGAACTTGGCGCGGACCACGCCGCTGTTGCCGTGCGGGCGCGTGACTTTCCCCCAGATACAGCGGTAGTGAGACCCGTTCTTCTTCACCTTCGCTTTGTAAATGTACGCCATTCTCTTCCCGAGGTACCACGATACCTCCTCCTGCGTGTTCACGCCCTCGATCTGTACCAGTGACGTGTTCGGGTACTGATTCGATTTGGATCTGAAATCATTCCCAAAGTAAAAATTAGGAAAATATGAAGAAAAGATGATCAATTTGAAAAAAAAAAAAAAAGAAAAAATTGGTTGTAAAATCGTACCTTTTGTATCCGAGGATTGTTCCACGGACATAGAGCCTGACCCGCTCGCCTTGGCGCCCTTTCACCATTGATGCAGTCTCTGAAGCTTTTCCCGGCGACTGGATAAGATGAAATGATGATGATGATGGCTCGTGAAAGTTAAAACCCTAGATTTGAGGTTTTAATGTGGAATGCATATGATTGGGCTTTGGGCTTGATATCCGTGCAAGTAGCCCAAATGGAAATATAGTATCTTCAGCCAAGATACGTGCAAGGTAGCCCAAGGGAGACTATAACAGTTGGAGCTAAGGCCTAAGCCTTATTAATAGTATTGAGAAGATGTAACTAAAGTTTGGGCTTGACTCATATATTAGGAGATTCCTCTATATTAAAGATTGAGTTTGACTCGTATTATTTACAAAATAAATTACAAAATTTACTCCAATTGCAATTTAAGCATAATTTTAAATGTCGGCATTTTAAGACACTTTTTTGCAAATTAAGACATGAATTCAAAAATGATGATTACCACTTTCGTCTTTTGCAAAGTGGATGTAGAAAATGCATACTTATACATACCCATAGACTAAGTATGTTGGTCCATTTGTTAGACCAAAATAGTAAATGTGGATATTAATATTAATCAGAACGTGATAATATTTCTATAGTTAAGTTCATTTACTTTACTGATTCGAGCATTCATGGTGCATGAATATAGCTGAAAGAAACAGAACGTATAGTATTACTAAAACTTCTATAGTAGTATTTATTGTTTTTATGGCCTTTCGTTATCCATAATAATAAACTATCACTTGATTTAGTCTTCATATGATTTTGGTCTTAATTAGCTAGAGCCCCGTATGCACTCTCCTGTATTATAATGATGATGTTAGGAAGAATAATTTATTCACTAGCTAATTATATGTAGAGTTATGTAACATTGTTCACTAAGCATTACTCAAGAAATAATAAAATTAAGTGGAAAAGGAAAATGTTTTAATTATCAACAATATTTTAAGTGGGAGAAGGCATTGTACATTTGAAAATTTGAGTACTTTACAAAATGAAACAAATTAATAATTCAAACTCAAGGCCTCCGATTCCATATAGCCTGGAGTAAGATTGTTGTTAGATATGTTTACTGGGGAAAATGTTCACCAACTTACCTTGTGTATATTAAGATGTGTTTATAAGCCACATATTAAGATGTTAGTAATCTTTCAATCACATACTAAATTTTAATCCATACACCAATGTTAAGGGCGCACATCTTTTTCACCTTATTATAAATTAGATATATCAAGTTTTTCACACCTTTCGCTCACAATTTAATTGTTTTTCACCTCAGAAAGTGCAGAGACTTATGCAAATCGACTTCATAACTGTCGTTTATTTATTACACAATGCCTTTTCACTTTTAACTTTTTCACTCTATAAAGAGTGAAAGATAATGTTGATGAATTATATAATTATCGCATAAACATTGTAGAATACCTTTACACTTTCCAGAATGAAAAAGTTAGTTTGTCAGCGGTCGGTGTAAAAAAGTAATATATTTTGATAGTGAGCGAAAATGCTATTTTCACAAGAATGTTAATCCACACCTATATATTGTGGGTGTGGAAACAAGACCTACCACTTTATGCATGCACGTTAAGATATGTCCATCAGCCACATATCGACATATTATACCATTTCAATTACATGTCACTGATAATTTAGACCACTGTGGGTATGAATACGTGACTAAACTTAACCGTTAGATTATTATACTCTTTCAACAGATATGCATATTTTTAAATTGACATAAATAAAATTATATATGACATTTCATCGTACAATTAGTATGTAATTTCGTTAAATAAATACGATTGATCAACCCTTTAATATTAGACTACCGCTTACAAAAATTTGTCATCTTGGACAATATATATTACATCATATAGAACAACCAAACATCTTAATCCCATAAAGCTTAGCCAAAAGGTGAAATCCTTTGTTTACTTTCAATTTTTTTCACCACGTATAAATTAGCATCACAAATTCACAACAAATTATAACACCATTTTGACCAATCAGATTTTATTCTCTCTCTCCTCTCTCCCTCTCTCTCCTCATTTCCCGTTTTCAGTTCGCTTCCTCATATTACGCCTCACTAATCTTTCAACCTTGGGATAAACTAAACCACTTTCTCCAATTAGTATTTTTCTTCATACGAAAAAAAAAAAATATAACTCCCACCGGACAATGTCCACCGGAGGGGCAACGAGCGGCACCGCCGCCACCGCCGCCGTCCCGATCCACCACCGCCGCCGCCCGGAGAATCCCCCGGACCCTAGCCGCGCGAAATCCGACGTGGATTCAGAATCACTGACAACCAACAACAATAATATTAGGTCGTCAAATTTGCGTGGAATTTGGAGATTTTTCTTTTCAAGAAGGAACGTCGGCAGGAAAGTCGTGCTGGCGCTCTTCGCGCTGGCGGTGATGTCGGCGTACGTGAAGTTCTTCCTGGCGCTGAGCGCCGGCGGCGGAGACGCGGCGGAGGGCGGCGGCGGCGGCGGGAGCGCGGCGGAGAAGGAGATCACGAGGACGACAACGTCGGTTATTCGTAATCTGAACGGCGATTTCTCGGCCAAGGCGGTTTTTGACGAGTCGGAATCAGTTTCCGTGCAGAGGCAGCCGGCGAGGCGTTTGCCGGTGAGTTGATTAAATTATGTTTCAGTTATTATTATTATTATTATTATTATTATTATTTTAATGTTGTTATCTGATTTTTCTTTTTTTCTTTTCTACAAAATTACTCGATGTATTATTTTATTAATAAACACTGACATTGATAAACAAGACATGACGACAACAACTTTGTTAACTGATTAAATAAATATAGTAAATTATAATTTCTACTATTAATCTGATTAATTTATTCAATTTATTAAATTAAGAATTGTTAAATTGACTATTAACATGATATTTGATACTTGTCGATACTTGTCGTTGTTTAATTAGCTCTAATCTTGTTTATCTACAGATTGATTATCCACACTTTATCAATTTTTTTTAGTGCTAGCTAGGAATTTATGTTAGTTGTGGAATTATTTGGGATTGTCTTGAAATTTGACATGTATTTTAAGCCTGCGATTGAGGAGTTTTGGTTTGAAAAAGTTAAAAAAGAAGAAAGAAGCAGAAGAATATGGGATGTGTGGAATTCAACAAAGATTTGAATTATGCAATTTTTGTTCGAGAAAAATTAATTAAGAGGGAATAATATATTTAGGATACTTTTGTTTATTTTATGTTGTTTTTGACCCACGACGTTAGTGGGCTGCAATGAAAAGTTGAGGGCTGAAATTTTCTTTGGATGTCTTTGACCACAAATTACAAAATATAATACAGTAAGCTACAAAACATAATAAAATACTTTTGGACTGAAAATTACTTCATAATAAATTATAGTGCTGCCAATTAATATTCGAGGTAGCTAATGATTTTTTTTTTTATTTTAGTCATTATAAGCTAATGATTCTTTTTGGGTCTACATAATTTAGTATTAAAAGTGAAACTTTAAAACATTATGTAAATAAAATTCTAACATTTCACATATTTGGTTAATATCACTCTCCATGTATATTCTTTTAGTTTGTTTTTACTTTTTAAGGTCTAACGTTTAAGTAATCATTTCCTTTTATGTAAATAAATAAGATATGATATTTTATAATATAAATAGGTAGTTTTCTTAAGCAAAAATAATAATAATAATAATAATAATAAGGCATCCCGCATAATAGTTAGACTACTTCGTACAATAATTTAATTTAATTTAATTTTTTTAATATTCAATGTTAGCTGCTATTTTGTTGACATGCAGCTACCAGCAATATGGAGGAGACCGAGAAGTGATCAAGTACACAAATGTATCAATCGGCCGAAAGATAAAATTAGTATGTCAAACTTCACCATTTAAATTATTATTATTAAAGGAAATTGGATTTTGATCCGAATATTTTGAAACAATAATATCAAAACATGTAATTTCTGATTTTCAGGGAAACAATCTGAACCAACAAATGGTTATATCCTTGTTCAGGCCAATGGAGGACTGAATCAGATGAGAATAGGAGTAGGTCCATTTATAAATTTTTTATCAAATTTATTCTATTTTTCAATTCTATCAAATTTATCACATATATAGTAATTAGGTAGTGATTTCTTTTAATAATGCATAATTATACTATGAAATGTCATATTTTTATTTTTATTGTATTTTAAAAGATAACATTTAAGTATATAAGTATTCATATTTGTTGAAAAAGTATTATTGTCTAACCATTAGACAACCTAACGGTATAATTTTACTAAGGATGACTAATTGTTACTCACAATACTCTTTCAATAAAATGTACATTTATTTCCTACTCAAATGTCATACTTTAAAATACAATATTAATAAAAGTATGACATTTCATAATATAAATATGATTTTTTTAAATAATCAACACAATAGCAACATTTGTGANTAAAAAAAAAAAAAAAAACAAATTCAGTTACATTTTAATGTGATTAAGCATCCCATTAATTTGTTATTAGTTGATTAATTACAATTCTTAATGCATGATTAGATATGTGACATGGTTGCCATAGCAAAGATTGTAAATGCAACTCTTGTGCTCCCTTCCCTTGATCACTCTAGCTTTTGGACTGACCCAAGGTATAATAATAATTATATCTCAATATTATTGCCCATCACATTAATTTCCTTTTATTTCATTTCTTAGCATTTATTATTACTGCTATCATTTCAATCTTGTGAAGTCGTTGTTGAAATATTTTTTCTTAATATTTATTTCTTGTAGTGAGTTCAAGGATATTTTTGATTGGAGGCATTTTGTGGACACATTAAGGGCTGATATAGAGATTGTTGACAAGTTACCACAAAAATACAGAGCTGTGAAGCCCCTGAGAAAAGCCCCTGTTTCATGGTCTAAGGTCCATACTAATCATACTTTACTTAATTTCTAA